CCCACTCCCAGGTACTGGGAGTTTGATGGAAACCTTTCTCTTTTGTAGAGCCGACTACATTGCATGGACTCTGTACTTTAAGCTGCTACATGCAATCCATACAGTCCATATCCTGTATGGATTGAATTTGTGTACATGCTGCTAGCTTGCCTCTAGGGATGGCAATATCAGTTGTCAGTTTGTCAAAACTATATAATGAACTCTCAGTGATTGTATACAAACATTCATGGTCCCCAGGGGATGACTCCTCCAGAAACACCATGAGGTCCAACTCTCTGATTATTATTCATTCATAATGAAATTTGGTACACAACACTGAAGTTATCCACATGGTTCTTGTTTGTGTGGAAGAGAAACTCCCTCTGGGTGGAACTTTAATATGTTAGCCTTTGCAGACAATTCACATGCACACAAACCTGTATAACACTACAGGAACATTGCAAAAAGCTACATAGGGCCCCTATAAGTTCACCTTCTGTATAATCTTGTATATATTTGACTTTTGGAAGAACCATTAGTTTGGTTTGTGTGTGTAATCCTTTAATGGGGCAGAGGGAAAGCTCCAGCCTGGTCTTCAAGTCAAGAAGAACACATCTACTTTGGCTTCTTTGGGGATCCAGCCCCTGAACATCTTGTTTCTTTCTGTCCCTTCCCATATTTCCATGCCTCTTTCTGGTGTCTGGGCACTGGTAATGAGTTTCCCCCTCAGCACAGGAGCTCCGGCTCAAGATGCTCGTTGCTTACTTCTCTGAAATGCACTGGAGCTTGAGCAACAGACTGTCATTAAGTGTTCCTCTCTGGAGAACCTCTCCTCAGATCTCATTACACTTCTCTGGTGCACGCACAGATGCACTTCACTACATGCTCTATATCATTCCCTCATGCTTCCTCTATCTTTGTCTGCCTCTCTCTGTCACACACACATGAACACACATCAAGAAGCTGAGCAAATGCAAGCTTTCACTCAAACACATCCATCCATGTGGCCATCTGGAAGTTTGATTTGCAACAATCCAATGAATCAAAAATAATAACGGTTCGAAAATAGGAATGTATTTGTTGCCAAGTGTTTTGCTAAAGCATGAAAAAACATGAGCGAAAACACACACTTCACATCCGTGTTGACTGACAGCATCTGCGTTCATAGCTGGTAATTATGTTAACCTGTTAAGTGGCCGTGTCCCCACCTGGTGCAAAGATCACTTCAAAATCTGATAGAGGAAAAATATATGGAAGCGTGGGTATTTGAGCGCAGGAGATTGATGAGAGGAGGAGGTGAATGGCTTATATAAGGTAGCATCCACTCTTCCCTCTGTTCACTCTCCATTCCCCTGGATGCAGTAGGCGGGAGCTTTTATTGCTGTGCTTGTATGCGTATGTCGCGGGCATGTTAGCATAATATATATGCCATAAGGAATCCCTCAGATGTTCAGACCCTTTACAATCAACTCTACATACACTGGGGCAAAAAAGTGTTTCTGGAAACTGCCTATATGAAAAGGTATGAGCCAAAATGCAGGAGTCAGCAGAGTTCTAGTAGTAATGCAGGCATATTTTCCATCTGTCTCTGACACCTTTTAAAGATTCACCAACTTGGATCATAGATCAGGGCCAACTGAATATAAATAACAAAAAACGTGAAAACAATTGCTATGTGCCATTTGTGATTTATTTACCCACAACTCAATTCCATTTACTATTTAAATTTACACTTACTTTTTCAGAATAACCAGTGATGTTCTAGTATTTTATGTAAATAATTGGATTCTATATTTAAGGATTATACAGTAGCCTGTATTATATTTAAACTTTATATAGGTTTGTTTCCAAAATGTCTGCTAAAAAATGCATGTTATTGTTGAGTTATAGCCCAATAGGGAAATTGATAAAGTACAACAGAAAAAAACGAAAGACTAATAGCTTTGATTCAGTTTCACGAGTCATGTTGTATATCTTTCTGGTTTTGTAGAATTGTAGATAACAGTTTAATCAATAAGTAAAACAGGCAACTATTCAGTGAACTCTTTACACACTTTTCTGCATTATAGTTTACAAACTTTGATGAGTAAACGTTGTTTAAACGGCGATATGATTATGGTAGACCAATACGATAAGTAATTGCACTTAGTGCCATAACTTTCCTAATCAGTGGGTGGTTTTATATTATTTTTGATATGAATAAGAAATCTAATGAATGAATAAGCATACACAAGCTTAGCTTGGGAACATGCTAATAACATATCCTCATACACTTTTATTAAGTAGCTCATTTGTATTTTTTACGTTGTAATTGACATGCTTATTTATCTGCCCTTATCATTTCCTTCTCACACAGCGACCGTTCTGTCGTGCTCACCTTGTATCTCATCTGTGTGCTCTACTCTAAAGTGTGTGTGTGTGTGTGTGTGTGTGTGTGTGTGTGTGTGTGGGTGTGTGTGTGTGTGTGTGTGTGTGTGTGTGTGTGTGTGGTGTGTGTGTGTGTGTGTGTGTGTGTTGTGTGTGTTGTGTGTGTGTGTGTGTGTGTGTGTGTGTGTGTGGTGTGTGTGGTGTGTGTGTTGTGTGTGTGTGTGTGTGTGTGTGTGTGATGTGTGTGTGTGTGTGTGTGTGTGTGTGTGTGTGTTGTGTGTGTGTGTGTTTGTGTGTGTGTGTATGTGCGGTATTCTGTTGGGCTTTTCTCTCCCGTTGATCTGCTCTCACCCTCAGCGGAGCAGGCTTAATTACAGCGTGGCTCTCTGCGCTGATTAAAAGGGACACTGACGCTCCATAGGGAGAGCATGACTGGGAGTTTGTTCACTTTCATGCACACTCTGCTTATCTCTGTCTGACCAGCTCCATTACCATGACTCTGAGGCCCAGTTTGTAATTGCCTCTCTTTATTACTGCGCCTACATGTCAGGCCAAGGAACAAGGACCCGCCGCATCAATGGAGAGTTTGTGTGGCGAGCAGGGAATGCACACATACACATTCTCTCATGTGCACAGCGTAAATGTGAATGCGGAGACATAGGGCATGCAGGAAAAAAAGTATTTTGAAAGTGAGTCAGTGCCATGCTGAGGAGAGTTGACCTAATAAAACAGAGACCATCGAACCCTCACATGACTTAGCCTCTGATGGTCAGCAAACTAAAGGTTTTACACTTTATTCTTTTGTGCTTTGCACCTATGACTACTAGGTTCATATATAACTACTTTTAAATAATGTTCCCTTTATAAGTGTGGTTTATAAGTTCTATCTAATGCTTTAATTAATAGAGCAGTTATTTGAGCTGGAAATGCTAACATCAGCACTACCGCAATGACAATGCTATATTGCTGATATTTCTGAATATTTACTATAATAGTTTTTTGTGGTATGGTGCATCAGCATATTATCACTAAACTCAAAGACCCTAAGGATAATAAGATGGTTTTCCTAGGTATATGGTTATAAACCAAACTATTGGAAATAAATCACAAATGTTGTCATAATTCACACTGAAGGGAATGTCTTTTCCTGCCATTCCTTAAAATAGATGCAAACTTCAACATCATCAAAAACAGCTTACCCTAACCCTCAAATACCACTTTTCGACCAAAGCGGTTCCAAGGCCGGTTCTGATCTGGCCCGAATCCAAACCGCTTTCCACTGCTTTGTGTTTCCACCAAAGGACCAGAAAACTGATTCTCATTTGGAACCAACAACTACTGAGCTGGAACTGAGAAACACGTACATGCATCAGAGGGTTACATCCAAGGCTTGGGCGAAATTAGCCTTAGCAATATACTGAATACAGTGAAGAGTAGAACATTTTTTAAATCAGTAGAGCCGAGAACCCAAAGTGACTAAAACTAGTTTTTAGCTGAAGCACCTGTTTGAGAATGCCGGTGAAGCACATTTCCCGTGCCCCTCCAGGACTCTACATATGACGCTGAATTAAAGTGCATAAAGATGTGCCACGTCCCCTTGGAGAAGAGTATAAAGCTTGGGATGCCGCCCTTCAATTAGATCTGGCTTCGTATGAATAAGAGCAGCATGAGCAAAGCCCTAAAACAGTCTACCATTGTTGCTGTAGTGATGTCATGACGTGGCTTTTACTGGGCTTTTGACAGCGGAAAAGCCAACTGGTTCCCGGTTGGTTCAACATTGTGAACCAATTGCAAACCAAGCTAACACATTACATTACATTGCATTTAGCTGACGCTTTTATCCAAAGCGACTTACAATAAGTGCATTCGACCAGGAAGACACAACACCAGAGCGGAACTTATTTTAATTGAAAAGGGAAGCGTGAATGTCTGTTCAAAATGTCAGCTAGAGATATAAAGGTTATATAACATTGATAAGAATAACTTGAGGATGGCTAAACATCTCTTGCATTGCCTGGTTGTGGAGCAGCAGGGCACCTGGGCCCAAAATCCATTCATTAACACCTGTATTTAAACCGGCTAAATGGCTCATTAGAAATGTAGAAACTAATGATGACTCGTTAATTACACAGCGTATTAGAAAGCGTTCCCTGTAATTGTGTTTCCTACAGCTGGATGATATGGATATGTTCTTCATGCTGCTGCTGCTCCTTTCCTTGGGGACCTTCATGCTGGGACTAGATTCTGTAACAGTACATCACCTGTGTGGAGCTGACTCAGCGCCTCTCATCAGGGTAGAGAGAGTGCATGATTCCTGGGCTAAAACAGGCAGATGTCAGCTGGCTTCACGGAACATCCTTCAGCAGATGGCAAAGCTCACTGATCAAGACCCTGAATATGTGTGGAAGTCAGCAAATTTACAATTTTCTTCACACTCTGTGTGTGTCTGCTTGTAGTGCTGCAGATAACCCGCTGTAAAAGGTCAAGAACAAGACAGGACATTTCTTATCTTCTATCTAGGCGGTGGAGAGTAATTAAATTGCTCTAAAAAAACACATTTACAGCGTTGAGGTTTCTCCTGTTGAATTACTGTTATCATTGAAATGCATAAACACACTTATAAATGATGTGTTCCCTGTTTTGTCATTTCACAGGCTCCATGAAAGTGAGATAGGATTTAAACCAGCGTTGTCTGCGTTTGAGTTCCAACAACTGCTTTACAACCTGACGTCTCTCAGAATCAGCAACGCCGGAGGACAGAACTGTAAGTGTTTTTGTGTCTTTGCATAGAAAATCTAAATCAACACATATCATTTATATTCCTTTTTGCTGAGGATTTTAAAGGTTTGCCCTGAGTCGGCAAAGATACCAAATGCATCATTATAGACTTGTTCCTTACCTTTGGAGCATTGCTGTGCATCTACAAGAGTATGAAGGCAATATGGTAGAGAAATTAACATTGTAAAATATATTAGTTGAATGCATACCTATTAACAATTAAAAAGTGCCACAGAAAAATTACAACATTTCCTAATCTTGTATTGATTAAAAATACATTGTCTAGTAGCTACTGCTGCACCAAATATAGTTCCTAAAACAATGTCAGTGTTGTATTCGGGGAATAGTTCAAATGTTCCAAATCTGGCTCAGCAAAAAAAAGAGGACATTTATTCCCACATGTAAATAACTAGTTCTGGAAATCCTCTTCTTATATTTATCCTCCTCCCTCTGTATCTGAGAGTCTGCATTGTGAAGTGCAGGCAGGATCTGAGAGGCATTACGGCGGATTAGAGAGCGAAGAAGACAGAACAGCTGGCCAAAATCATCAACTCACTCACACTTTACTTACACTATTTTAATGAGTTGCTCAGCAAAGGCGTTGTGACACACACTCATGCACATTCAAAAAGACTACCACAGGAGTTTGTGCACACAGAAACAGGAGCGTGATCATGCATTTTCCATCAATGAGCTTCCTGTAAGCACACACCCACATGAGCGTACTAACAAAGTCAGCTCACAGTTCACTCTGTATCTATCGCACATCACAGGGGAGAAACTGTGTTAATGATTCAAACACATTCTCAAACAGTGTCAGATGTGCCTTATCGCTGAAGGCTGCGCGGCAAACTTTATATTTAAATTCCCATAAAGCTCTCCTCTCTCCCCCTCACATCCTCCTCTATTCTTCAAATGTCTCTCTGAGTCCCCTTCTAACAAAACCGTATTATTTTAAGGCGAGACACCCCAGGTGAATAGGGTAATTTTTTTAACTTAAAGGTATCAGCTAGAAATGTCTCCAGTTAATTACTTACAATAAGGCAATTGTCTTTTGTATTACAAGTTTTCTGAAATAGCATGTTTAAATATGCAAATTATCCATTATCTCATTAAATATGCACATATTTTAACACATTTCAGGAATCGAAATCTGAACTTTGGATATAGCCAGATTCAAAATTCTTGTTTCATTTTGTAGTCATATTAGTATCTAAGCCTTTTACAGAAGGGATATTGGATATCTCTTTTTATCACTCCATAAATCAGAAAATACTGTCAACAGCCCTAAAATATCCATTTTCGCCATGTTTTTAGGTAATTCAGGCTATGAATGATATATGGACAAACCCTTCTGTAAAAGCCTTCATAATATTGATAGGAATATAACTGGAAGGTTTGGTGAATGTACGTGCTACTGAAGTTGAAATTTCGAACTCAGAGTAGGAGAAAAAACTCATTTTGAGAAAACGACCTTTAAAGATTGCAGTGAGGCGCTAGCTAAACCCTCCTGTTCTTTGGATGACAGCTTGCGCATCGACGCACTCCGTGAAGGTATTTCATGTTCAGGGTCATTTTTTTTTTTATAACCTTGCTTCGTGCAAGTGACAATTGTTGTCGTCTTCTCTGTGAACGTTTTTTTCGCCGTTCTTTTTGCATTTTGAGATTTCAATTTCTAGCTGAAAGCTAACCAGGAAGTGTTTTAGCACACCACGTGACGCATCTGAACGAATCACGTTGTCATAAATTGACACCAGCCAATGAGATTTCGTTTCTTGGTTTAAGACCCCTTTGTGCTTTCACGATTGGTTGCTGATACAAAGGAAATGACCATATTTGGATCCGATGAGATTGTGCAGGAGAGACACAGCTTTCCAGCGATACCTCTGTTGACATGGTGCACACAGCGGTCGCGGTACTTTATGTTACGTTAGAATGCTAACTTTTGGTGAATTTAGGAGAAATCTACAGACGCAAATAGACAAACTATAGTAAAATAAACACTTAAATGTGTATTTTGTACGTTTTCCTTCCAAAACCCTGAAAGAAAACATGTTATGGAATAAAAATAGCACAAAATCTCAAAATTGACCTGTACTTGAAAAACGATGTTTTTGCCTGCCGTGTCTCGCCTTAATGAGAGTATTGTCCTTAGACTATAAAGGCAGTCTTTGACAGCAGTCACGGTGAAGTCCTTTCATTCTCACCGCCACAGAAATATAGATTTGAACAGAGATCACAGTCTTAGTGGAACTGTATGATAAATCAATGGCTTAATCAATGTACAGGTACCTACTGTAAAGAGACCCACACTGTAATAGTTGGCAGGGCTGCAGTGAGCCATTTAAGATTGAAGGGAATTAAAATCTTGACAAGGTTTCCTGCAGTAAGGATTGATGGAGGGAACTTGCACAGCGTGACTTAAAATGAAATGTTTTTAATTAACTGAAATAGTGGTTTCAGTGTCTGAATATTGTTTTAATTGCACATTTTCCTCTGTTGAATGAGCCAGTAGAATTCAGGAGTCAGAGGGGAGTAAAGGGTACGGGCTAAGGCGAGTGATGGAGAGGAAAGAGGACAGGCCTACTGATTATCCCTCAGAGGTGCAAATGAAGCGGGTTTCATCACTGCTGAAGGAATGGCTGGATCATGACTTATTAGAAGTCAAGGTTCCCTCATTATGCAGCCATCCATTCACACATGGTTTATTTCTTATCTGACAAAGCTACATAGAGAGACGTGCACAGCATATTCTACCTATCCATCCATCTTGTGTTCCTTCAGCGAGAGCAGACACTGTATTGGACCAGGAACAAAAGTAATTTTAGTTTTCTGTGGCTGCGGTTTAGAGAGTTAGGGTGAAAGGATTCGGTTCAGGACGGCCTGCCCCCATCACTATTCATGAGAGGAGAGAGGGATGTTGAAAGCCCAGAGGAACTGCACGTCTGACATACCTCCACCGAATCTTCTGTCTCTTTTTCTTCTCGTGTTGCCATGCTGCAGTGATTTATTCATTTGCTATATCAAAGATTCCCTCGGTGACGAGTGTACGTGTGTGGGCGCATGTGTGTGTGTGTGTGTGTGTGTGTGTGTGTGTGTGTGTGTGTGTGTGTGTGTGTGTGTGTGTGTGTGTGTGTGTGTGTGTGTGTGTGTGTGTGTGTGTGTGTGTGTGTGTGTGTGTGTGTGTGGTGTGTGTGTGTGTGTGTGTGTGTGTGTGTGTGTGTGTGTGTGTGTGTGTGTGTGTGTGTGTGTGTGTGTGTGTGTGTGTGTGTGTGTGTGTGTGTGTGTGTGTGTGTGTGTGCAAGTGAGCATTAAGTGTGGCATTTATGGGCGTGTGGGTGGATTAATCTGTTATTGTGTGCGTCTGTATATGTGTGTGTCAGACTGTAAACACAGTCCAGAACCTGTAATGAGACAGGGAGGGAGGTACAGCACTGCAACAAATGCTAATAACCGACTGCTTAACGAAACACAGAGGCACACACACACACACACACACAAATACACACACACACCCCTCATAAGAGAGAAAAGCAGGTTCCACAAACACGTCAACACGTCAACAGGCCTCTGAGGCAACGGTTATTAGTTTACTACTGACCTTTGTATGTATCAGTTTTATAACAAAGCGCTAATTCATCTTCCTTCCTCTGCAGACACGTCGCAGCTCGCGGAGGTATCCCTCACCTCAGCTTCCATCTCCTCCGGCCCACCAAATCCTCCTGCCCCCTGGGTAGAGTTTTGTTCCTGTCCCCCGGGATTTACGGGACATTTTTGTGAGCGGTGCGCCCCAGGGTTCACCCGGGAAGACCCCAGCAGAGGGCCGCTCTCCACATGTGTGCCCTGCAACTGCCACGGGCATGGAACCTGCCACCCAGAGACAGGTGAGAGAAGAGTGAAACATTTACAATTGATTTAGTATCTACATGCATTGAAATTATATTTTTGTATGCATGCTGACTTTGATGATACTTTACTGAAAGCTATTGCCAATGCCTGTGTTTCAGTGACACGGATAGCCTGAAAAAGCCTGATCATGAATCAAGTGCAGATTATTTTATATTTGAAGAAAACCTCCATCAGTTGTACATGCCAAAGTCAATTTACTATTCACTGGGAGTGAATGACATGCTGTGAAAATGAGAATGTGTTCTATGGCTTAGCAGGGGCTTTGTCGGGTTTATTAAAATAAATGATATTACCTAAGCATATCCGCGCGGAAAGTCTGTGTGCAAAATCACTTCCTAATACTTACCTAACGATATGATACACTATATATCATATCGTTAATATCTGGCAATATATTGTCAGATATTAACTATTTGACAATGTTTGTGTGTCGGAAAAGAGTGTGCAAGTTTATAGAATGCGCTGAGAAATTCCACAATGGAAAAAATAAGTGTCATAACATTACACACTACTTTGAACAATCACACATTGCAGAGCTTTGTTTTTCTTGATAAGAAAGACAGCATTGTGAAACTCCATACATCAACATGGATATCTTTCCAATCCCTGCCATACGTCCTATCACCGGATCATAATGAAAGATGGCTATTAAGTTGCCTTATGCGATGTGTAAAATCCCATATATTTGGAGGCTGAATTATTAGGAACGAAAACTAAGGATGACTCAGCCTCTGCTTCATCAACTTGACCTTTATTTGGCAATCTGTCTCATGCCAGTGCTATCCTATACTGTCAGTACTCCTAAAACAAGGAGTATGAGTCAAAGGCCTCATTGTGTTACTTTGTCCTTAGTGTTGTGACTTTAGTAGTGTCAAACGGGTTGTAAACTTTATCACTTTTGTTCATATGTTTGCCAGTAGAGTAAAAAAAAAATCCACCATTTCACAATTCATTGCTCAAACCATTCCCACTTTAAGTTCTGGCTGTGGAAACTAAATTTGCTCTAAAACTCATCCAAGTTGCTACTAACGGTACGTCCACACTGCAGCTTTTCAAAAATCTTGAAAATCTTGGAGCTGGGCGTGTCTGAAAGCTTGGGGATTTTTTGCGAGCAACGAGACCAACAACCAATCACATGAATCTCCCGCCCCCGACATACAAAGCAAAAAACCCCAGGGATTTTATGCGAGCCATATATATATATATATAAAAACTCCCCAAACAGGCGAAAACCTACCAGTTGTTCACCCACTGTCTCTGCCACCTCCCCCCATGCCTGGTTCCTCCGGTTTGTATCCCGTTAAAAGTTCTGGTCGTAAAGAACCGGGTGATTTGCTACCGTAATTTCTCGTTTGGAATATGAGAAAATGAACTGCGGTCTGGCTCTCCCTGCTTACACGCGGTTTGATTGGCTAGCGCTTATACTGTCAGATTTGCATAAACGGGATTTGATTGGCTGACGCTTCCAGCTCCAAAAGTAGAACATTGCTCAACTTTTGAATCCTGAAAATCCTGGAAATCTTCGCTTCGCTCCCCCACAATGCAGTTCGGCGACAAGCGAGGCAAAGTGACGTCACCCCCATTCAAAGTCAATGGGCAGAGAAGCGTTGGAAGCGGTTGAAGATTTGTTTAAAGCTGCAGTGTGGACGTACCGTAACTGTCCACACGACGGCGTGCGTTGAAGCTTCAACGCTTCTGCCCATTCACTTTGAATGGGGTGACGTCACGCTTTGCCGAACTGCATTGTGGTTCCGACGCTTCGCTTTGCTCGCGTTGCTCGCTTCAAAAGTAGAGCAATGTTCTACTTTTGAAGCTTCAACGGATGCGTCAGCCAATCAAATCATATGCCAGTACAAGCTCTAGCCAATCAAACCGCAAGCTTCAGCGCACGCCGCCGTGTGGACGCTGCGTTAGGCAACAAAGCTGTTCTTCCGCAGCATTCAGCCGGCGTTACACGAGACGAGGGACCATCAGAGGTTGTTGAGACAATATTTTCTGTCACCGTGCCTCCGAGAGAGTACAGGGAACAGAAAGAGATGAAGGCTGTTGCACTGAAGTATTTGTCTGTGTCTTCCCAGAGCTGACATTCAGTCATCATCGCTTCAAGGGAATGTAGCTCAGCCTTCCCTCAGGTGTGTTGGCAAGCTATCACTCAAACTGTGAACGGGATGACTGTGCCTTTACAGCAACACCCTCATTTCACAAAGCTAATCTTTATAATAACAGCCTAACTAGGAGTGTGTATTCAACGCACCTGACATTTTTATGGCCGATAATAACAGCAGCTGCAGTATTCTTTCAGATTCATATCCTAAACGCAGCGTCCCATAAATGACTGAAGTAAAACAGCAGCTGGAGGTGTGTAAACATGTCAACCTCTATGCTGTTATTTATATGTGTGTGTGTGTTTGTGTTTACTTGTTCTCCCTGAGACTTTTCCACACTTATCTCAGTCTCACAGCTTTAAACAAGTCCCGCCATCTCACCAAGAACAGACAACTCTCCCATCCTCCATCTTTTATCTTTGTTCAATCTTTCCCTTCCTCTCTTTCTCTCCCTACTACCCTCAGACTTAAAGTATCAGAGATCTGACCTAGTTAGGAGACGCCTCGAGCTTTGGCTGCGAGTGTGTGTGTGTGTGTGTGTGTGTGTGTGTGTGTGTGTGTGTGTGTGTGTGTGTGTGTGTGTGTGTGTGTGTGTGTGTGTGTGTGTGTGTGTGTGTGTGTGTGTGTGTGTGTGTGTGTATGTGTGTGTTTGTGTTTGTGTGTTTGTGTGTCTGAGGTCCGGAAGCAACTTTGGTATCACTGCCTGCCTGCCTCCCCACTAATTAGACTTGTTAGCCGCCTCTTGGCTAATGATGTCTAATTTGCTTGCAGATTTCCTGTGTCTCTTATGTCTCTTCTCAATCTGGATGTATCTCTTTCTCTCTCACACACACACACACACACACACACACACACACACACACACACACACACACTTGCTCTCTCTTCCTCTTCTTGTTCTCCCTAGTCAGCCTCTTGCTGGCTTCCTTCCTTCTTTTAGCTTGGATTGCACCTGCTCTCCCCAATCACCTTGACTTTGTTTTTAGCGTCCTTGACTCCCTTCTGTGCAAACTCCTCAAGTTTCCACTCCCTGAAGTACTTTGGATCTTTCATGGTTATAATCCCTTTGTATTTATGTAGTATCCAACATGCTGTTCTTTCATAGGCTGTGTCATTTGTCAAGGCTTTAATGTAGAACAGGTTTCAGTGCCAACAATGACTTGAACCGGAATCCAAAAGCAGGTGCGAGAGGTAAAGTAGCGTGACTCAAACTGAAACAAATGTTTTCCTGTTCTTTAAAAAGATTGAAAGTGTCCGAAGACAGAAGGAAGTCTCCAAGGCGTTCTGAACACAAACGTGCTTGTATTTTCAGGAAACCTTAATGTATTAATGATCCTGTTTAACTGTTCATCATCAAAGTAGGTTCATCACTCAGCAGGGTGAGCTTAGTGGCATTTAGCTTCACACATCACAGGTCCCCACAGACTATGAAGATGTTTCATAAACACTCACACAAACACGTGTTTTCCAGGAGGCTTTAAAAATATTTCAGATGTTAAATATGGAACGCGATGTGTCAAAATAAATCAAAACCGCTGTGTTGTGTCCTCTGGCAGGAAGCTCTTGGGTTGAATAGCTTTAGGTGACTATCATAAAAGGAGGCTATTTAAAATGAGCCTGTCTCTTTTCAATGGATGAGGATGGCATGTCATCTTCTGACAGCTGGTTGGCTTGTCTTTAATAAAACATATTTTTAAAAAGAGGCAAACAAACAGCAGACGATCTCCGTAAATCCATAAGTTCAGGTCAAGGGGAACTATCAAAGTAAGTCGATTAGAGACTCCCTGTTCATCATTTGTCACCAGGAGGGCGGACCAACCTGCTGTTCCTCCTATCAGAATCCTAATTGCTGGATAATTACCTAACGACTTGTGTCATCGTGCAGGGTGTGCCCACAGACAGAATTGGGATGGAGTGTATTCGCTGGATACCGAGGGAAGCTCCAGCCAATGGTGCTTCATAATCATGATTTATTAACACTCTCTGAGTCGTGTCGGTTCTATTTGCCGTAGCGCAACACAACAGATTGGAAATGTTCATATTTGTGGTGGAACGAGCTAATTGCAATCTCTGCCGAGCATTTGCGCTGCAGGGCTGATGAAGTCAAACATATGTCCTTCAGAGAAGGAGAAAAAGTGTGTATGTGTGCATGTGTTTCCACCGTTTTGGACATACTTTATACTGTCCTGGACTTGCTTCTATGCAGTATTTGTTAATTGCATACACACCATCCATAACATTGGGCAGAGGACATGATTTGTAAGCTAGAGGAAGGGTGTTGAAGAAGGAGGGAGATGATTATAATGCATAGGTAGAACTGAGGCACTCAATTTTCTATGCAGCCCACACTGTAGGGGAGTGCTCATTAATCAACTAAACAAATGAAACACATGATGCTCTCGACACTGTAGTCTCTGCTGGGTATTGAGCATTAGGCTGCAGTATTAGAGCTGTTATCCCTGCTTCCTGATAGACCTGTGTGTACATCCTTCATTGTGGACCACACGTACAAGCATCTTAAAATAACAATGTCAAAAAGTGTCTTGTGTCTGAAGGAAAAAAGACTAATATTAGTCAAGGACAACCTAATGCTGAGCAAGATATATTTAGGCGACCAAATTGTTTAAATGAACCTCCATTACTAGAAACTAGGAGTGTAACGGTATCCGTATTCGTCCCGTACCGTCACGGCCCGTCCACACAGCGGTGTGCGTTGAAGCTTCCAACGCTTCTGCCCATTCACTTTGAATGGGGTGATGTCACTTTTAGCCGAACTGCATTTTGGGAAGCGACGTGGAGCGTCGCTGGCGTTGCTGGCTTCAAAAGTTGAGCAATGTTCAACTTTTGACGCCTCGACAGAGGCGTCAGCC